TTTTTCATTTTCAGAAGATGGGTAGCTAGTCTATGCGATACATTTACTACGATGTGTTTTTTGTCCGCGCATTTTTTGTGTGGAATTGATTTAAGATACTTTATAACGTTGTCGTCGTTCGATGAGTAGCTGTTCTGCTGTAGTATGGTAGCTATATCCTCCCCTTCAAATTGAGCTGGAGCATTTAGAATTATGAGTGATGTAAGTCTTTGAACTTTATCTCGAAAATCAATTTTGTTTTGAATGGATGATGTCAATTTATCCTTATCCTTTTGGTTATGGAATTTGATTTCAATGAGGTTTTTATTTTTGAATACTTTTTTGACCACTGGTTTAACTATTGAGGTATTTATTATTTGTAGGATATTGTCTGGATTCTTATCCTCGTCTGTTCTGATGATTATTGGAGCAGGTGGACGAGGGTTACTGACTACTTCGCTGAACGATTGTTGTTTATCGGTGTTTTTCAGATCCTTAATCTGTATTGTGAGATCTTTAATCTGGTCTTCAATTAATTTCAGTTGGTTGGATTGTTGAGTTTCAAGTCGGTCTGATTGATTGGAGAGTCTTTTAATTTCTGCAATAGCCTCTTTGCATTCGTTAAATTCTTTTGTATTGTGTTGACCCCGACCATTCAGATATCTATCAAGATGTTTCACTAGTATCAGTAAATACTTGTCAATTTCAAAAGAGAAATCAAGTACAGGCCAATCGGGGAAGTCGTTGATTTCCGCTTGGACATCTGATGACGAAGCAGGAGGATTGTGTTCAACTTAGCTATTTTTAATGCTGTTTTTACCATAAAAGGAAGTTGAGATGATAGAATCAGTTTTTGATAGGGAACTACGACTATGCGATATGTTCGATAAATTATGCGGTGATGTTTGTGGAGGCTCTCTAGAGACTGGAGGATTTATCCGGGCACAGCGTCTAATATGAATCAGTGGTTCTTTTAGAGGTTGAAAAGGGACAAATTTCCTTCGGATTGTGACGACTGCGAGATCTACCTCGTGATGGCATGGTGTGATCGAGTATGCGTTGCGGAGTATTTCTCCCAGTCATGATAATTCTACTGTTCGAATTCATCGTGTGGGATACGACAATCTTCAAAGGTTACAAAGAAAATGTAGCAAGGGAAAATTTTAACAATAGAAAAATTGGCAACTGTGAGTCTCTTCCGAACCGCCAATAGGCCCCAGTGAAAATGATAAATTATCAAAAGAGTTAGAGAAATCCAATGTTCCAATGTTGCTAAAGTTGGCACCTAGTTTATTGATTGCGCTTTGCTTTTAGAAAAAGTGAGAATGAACCTGGAAATGTTCAGTTATTGACATCGCTTGTAGGATACGTATTGCCACCGAGCGTGAAAAAAAATGCACGCGAATTCTTTTTGTCATTTACAGGCAAGTCTTCTTTTTTTTCTAACTAATACATTTTTGGTTTAATAATATTGACAGCGTCTATTTTAAGAAATTTTTCAATGTTACCAACATTGAAATTCCAGTATGGTATGATGATTGTTGTTGTTGTTAATTTGCGTCGCCCTAGAGCTGCACAATGGGCTATTGGCGACGGTCTGGGAAACATCCCAGAGGATGATCCGAAGACATGCCATCACAATTTTGATCCTCTGCGGAGGGGATGGCACCCCTACTTCGGTAGCCCGACGACCTGCGCGCTAAGTCGAGCACTTTACGGTAGCACAGTTTAACGAGGACCAATACCGCACACCCTCGGTCCCTACACAGACTGATCTAAGTGGTCACCCACCCGCACACTGACCGCAGCCAGTGATGCTTGACTTCGGTGATCTGCTGGGAACCGTGTCTTAACGATCAGTCCACGACGGGACTGTATGGTATGATGAGGAACTTTAATTACCCACCAACTTTTAAACAAGCTACTTTATCCATGTTTGACCGTGGTATATACTCTTTGTAAATAAAATATGCACCATTAGGTAACGTGATCTTTTTTACCCACGGCAGTACATTCCGACTTCCAACTGAAATGTACAGCTTTGGAAAAAAAATCAAAATTTGCCGTACCCATAGTAACGGCAAGGTTCATTTTTTTTAATTGTTCATGTTTCTTTTTACTACATTTATTGTTTCAGTCATTGTTTTTTCTTTTAAACAAATGTGTTGCTCTTCATTGTCTGTAAGACTTTCAATGTTGTTTACTAAATTTTATTGTAAAATTTTTTATATGTATTATGGAATATGCAATTTTTTATAATAAATTCCCACTGATCAGGCTAGCTCACCGGGTTGTGGCGAGCTGGACTGGTAGCCAGACGTGGACTATACGGGTAAGGGTTTTGCAAACCTAGGTACGTGTCCACGTCTGGAGGAAAGGGAAAAAAAGTCACGGCAAGGGGAAAAGTATGAAGAGAAGGAAAATCGAGTCACTTAGCGATTCCTGTTCTATTTACAGAAAACATCAACAAGTCCAATAGCTTAGGTGACGACGTATATGAGGAAATACATAAAAAATTTTAAAACTGGCATTAAGGTAATGTTTATTTGTTGGTTTGATTAGTCTTTTTTAACTACTTCCACTTCCAGGTAAGGACACGCAGTTTCACCTGATGAAGCCACACGAAAACTTGATTCTTGATACATTTGATTACAACTCCATCATGTTGTACGGCAATACAGCTTTCTCCAAAGACGGTCGCTCTAAGACTATGGTCGCTAAAACGGGGGTTCGACTCTACGACACATTTGACAAGCCAGGTCTGAGCAATAGTGACATCATTCGAGTCAAGAAATTATACTGTTGAACTAATAAAATGAATTGAAACTCTTAAATTTTGGCCCATTTTTCTCTCAACTCTTCAACGAATCATTTTACTACCTTACATTTCGTAATGTGCGGTTTGCAGCGCTCTTGCTTAAAAAACTAATTATTTGTTATCAACGAAATTTAAGGTAGTTCCGATGCCAGCAATAAAAACTATGAAACAGCATTTTCAAAATAGCTACCTTTTACAACAATAACTTGGCACAGTCGGAGAACAACCTTAGCATGAGATTGGAAAGGTGTCACGTGTAACAGAATTTCGTGACATAGTTTATAGTTTTTGAACTGATGCTGTTTATAACACTACCATCCGTTGAAAACATATACTTTTGGAGCTTGAGAAATAAGAATCTAGTTTTCTTAGCAGAACTTAACAAATTGTGTATCTTTAGTTTCTTCTTATCTTTATTTGATTTTTCATAATACTGGTTCTTTTTCAAACACCCGGTATTAACTTCACACTATAGCCTTATTGCCCAACAGAAATCTATTAATATATAAATAGATCTATTTATTATATTATAATATATCATTAATGTATTATATATCTACCTATAATTATTTAATATTTTTTATTCAAAAAAGGTAGTAAGTCACATCTGATGGTAGACATGACGTAAAGAAAATCCATTATAAATAAATGTGTCAAGAACACAGATTTCAACGAATTAAGGAGAAAAAGAATCAGATATTTTATTGAATAACAGTTTAAACAGTACACACATCATTTACAGTTATACAGTTTATTAATTCTTTCTATGTCTCTTTCGCTGAGTTTTCCTTTAGTGAGTGGATCCAAGAGAAGTGATCCGTCGATTCCCTCCATTGTTCGGAGACCTTCTTTTCTGTTTTTTGATCCAGTGTATGATCCGTAAAGCATTATAGAATTATAATCAAATGGCGTTAATAGGAGATTTTGACGCGGCTTCAGCTTGAAAAACTGACCTTCCTCTCCTGAAAATTCAGAAAAGGAAATAATAACACATAGTAAATTTGCTCCAGTGGTTCCCAAAAAGTGTTAAGCGGAATCCTACGGTTCAGTGGAAGGGCATAGTACCATGAGTTAGGACTTGTTTGCTTAAATATTAAATAAATAAGTAATACTCCCGGTGACACGTGGAACGGTTTTATTTTTGATTCGTATTTTGGAATACTCAAACTGATGACGAGGACTGTATCATATATACATATTTATTTTTGATTCTGGGCTATTAATGCTCAAAATTTACAAATATACAAATATTTGAATAAAATTTTTAAAAAATTGTGATCGCCGAAAGACGATAACAGGTTACCCATTGGCAGAATGGTTGTTGTCTAATTTCTTCTCGTCTACATTCTTTGTCTTTAGCTTTTGCAGCCTAAATAAGTTTAGGTCTTGCCATCACTTTTCTTTTCGTTTTTTTTTTCTTCAAATTTAACCTTTGGGACCGTGTCAATCAGTTTGGGATCCTCTCTTTATTTGTGATTTTCACCTGAATTAGTATAGAAAACGATCCAGTTTGAACTGTAGGTCAGAATTTCTGATTCTTATTTAAAACATTAAGAACAAAAATATTGTTCAAATGTTGATATTCTCTTTCATTCGCAACTCAAGAAAGTATTTATGGGATCTCTCTGGTCCCAAATCTCAAAAATCAACTCAACAATTTAATGCATAACAAAATTGAAAGTGAAAGAAAGAATTCTAAAAAAATTATCAAACAGCAGCTGTCGTCATAGCAACGCATGTAATGACGACGCATGCGCACTGTTTACTATTACTCTTGAACACAGTTGAAAAGTGTGACGACGTCTAAATAAGGCGCGCACGCTGAGTGAAAAATGGGAACTTCTTTCTACATTAACATTCTACGATATATTGGTCAGCCTATTTAGTCATTAACCTTTAAATATAATTACAGTTTCTGTTAGACTTGGGCTGCTAACTACAGGCAAAGTGTCTCAACTAATACCGTTTAATTTACCGACTTGGTTAATATCCTGGGGGAGCTTAATCTGTACTCATTTAGTACTTTAGTCTTCGGTACTTTTAACAGCATCTCTATTAAAAGGATGGTTGACCATGGAGTCGACCCCTCAGCTCTGAATCTCAGTCAGAGGCTGAAATTGCTATTCCCTTCACCAAGAGAACCGAATGGATAAACCACTGACTTATGGATAAATCACTTAGTGACCACTGACCAACTAAATTGTCCGTGTCTGAATTGATAGTTATCTTTCCAAGGAAACTTGATGTTTGATTTATCTAAACCATATAACATATAATCAAGCCACTTATATACTTAATTGGTTCATCTAACACTCGGCCTTTCACTCAATTGACTGATGTTGAACTCCCTGTTATATTATGTGCTTCTCAACTAGTACCAAACTTCCCTAGAAGACAATCTAAACACTGGTATATTATTGGCCAGAATAGCACAACGTCACGAATCACCCTGACACGTAGAGACATTATATATGACATCGTGAAAAAATACACCTTTTAATATATATTAGAAAACAGGCTTTCCTTTACTACCTGTTTTAATGTTTTCCCAGTTGATCTTAATATATTCATCTCGATCGGACCTGTTCTGTTCGTGATAAAATCCGATAGCGTGTCCCAGTTCGTGTATGACTATACCTTCNAACCGGAATGGGGAGCAATATCTTATTTTTATATATAGCAATGTCAGAAGCTTAAATATGTACACGTGCAAAATAGAACTTTTTGTACATAAAACCCGTATAATTTCAAAACTATTTTGCCGATCAATTGAAAGGATTTAGCGGAAAAAACTAAATGCGTTCGTCATAGTCCATTTATTAATTCGCAACAAAAACGGCTTTTAACAACAATAAATTGTTTTAAGAAGTATTTTTATTTTCTCACAGGAATTTTCAGATCAAAACACAATTGACACTACTGACTGCTATTGAGAATTCCTAATTTTTGAAAGCTAATTCTGATTTTCCCCAGTAAGTTTTCAAGGAAAAAAAACTCACTGGAACAGTTAAAGAATAATTGTTACGAAAAAAAATACTTGTCAGCCATGCTTGAATTCAATATCGCGGCATTTTTTGCACACGGTTCTTTCTTTTCTTGAAACAAAGGTGTAGCGTGAGGGGGAAGCACGCTTTTTGTTTTTTTGAAAACTGCTCCTTAATTTTAGTTATATATATAGCATATATATACATTTATAAATAAATATACTTTCATATAAAAAATTGATAAGCATATATAAAAAAAAAATAAAGAAACAGTTTTCGATGAAAAATCCCCCCCCCCTGATGCTACGCACATGGAGACACGTGAATGACCGTCATCCTGTTCAAAAATTGGCGAGTAATTTAGAGCGGTCAATAAAGTTTTGCTATAATGTTGAATAGGCATGTTCACGTGTAACTTTTCCCTGTCTCATAACGTTTAGCGTTTTTAAATAAATTTTATTAATTCAATTTTCGAACTATAACTTCGACAGTACTAATAATTTTAATTTCATCCATTAGAAATTACCCTTCTGCATTTTAATTAAAGCATAATTATTATTCTTTAATATGAAGTCAATGCCGAGCAAAGGATTAAGCTTTTAAAAACTGCATTCACCAAATATTTTATAAATTATTTATAATCAACTTAATAAATTTTTGATCCGATAATTGAAAATTAAGAATGCCTATTCCACCCCCCCCCCGGAATAATAAGTAGTTTATAAAAATTTGCTTTAATCGAGGGGTTCAGCTCATAGAGGCCTAATTTCGGTCCGAATTTGAAAATTATAGCTTAATATTAAAGGGAAGTAGGTTGGCTTGAAATTTGATCCTTTGCCCCGCCATTTTATTTTTCTTTATTTTTTATTCCATTATGCTTTCTTTCCCTAAGAGACACCCTTGATATTGTACTTAGAACAACATACTTCGCCAGTTAAACTATCGGGAAAATATTGTCAAAGGAGTTTAAAAAAATAATATAATATAAATAAACTATTTTCCAAGGATTTTTCCAGTTTTTAAGCATTATTTGAAATTTCCCGAATAAAAAAATTCTCTTTTATATATGGGATTCTTTAATATGTCGAAATGTTATTGTCTTTAATATGTCATATGGGATTCTTTAATATGGATTCTTTAATATTAAATAAATAATGAAAAATAAACAAAAGAATAAAAAAATAAAATAAATTAAAAATTGACCACAGCTAGGGTTCGAACCCATGCCCCCTCGCTCCATGCGCAAGTCTCTAGCACATGGTCTTTACCGTGAGACCATGCTTTTACGAGGATCGCGCTACAACATAGCTTCAAGTACTCTCTCCCGGTTCGCTATACAAAAGACTTAAGGGGCCATTATGGCCCGCCTAATTGGTCTATAAAAAATTTGCTTTTATAGAGGGGTTCAGCTCATAGAGGCCTAATTTCAGTCCGAGTTTGAAAATTATAGTTTAATATTAAAGGGAAGTAGGTTGGCTGAAAATTTGATCCTTTTTCCGGCCATTTTATTTTATTTTATGTTTTATTCCATTATGCTTTCTTTCCCTAAGAGACACCCTTGATTGTATACTTAGAGCAACATATTTCGCGAGTTTGACTATCGTGAAAATATGGTAAAAGCAGTTTAAAAAAATAATATAACATAAATAAACTTATTTCTTGGGATTTTTCCAGCTTTTGAGCAATATTTGAAATTTCCCGAATAAAAAAATTCTCTTTTATATATGGGATTCTTTTATATATGGGATTCTTTAATATATCAAAAAACACATTAAATAAATAACGTAATGTAAAATAAACAAAAGAAGAAAAAAAACAACTTAGCTTCAAGTACCCTCTCCCGGATCTCTATACTAAAGACTTAATGGGCCATTGCGGCCCCCCTAATTGGTCTATAAAAAATTTGCTTTGATAGAGGGGTTCGGCTCATAGAGGCCTAATTTCGGTCCGAGTTTGAAAATTATAGCTTAGTATTAAAAGGAAGTAGGTTGGCTTGAAATTTGATCCTTTTTCCCGTCATTTTATTTTATTCCATTATGCTTTTCCTTTCCCTAAAAGACACCCTTGATTCTATACTTAGAGCAACATATTTCGCGAGTTAGACTATCGTGAAAATATTGTAAAAGCAGTTTAAAAAAATAATATAACATAAATAAACTTATTTCTTGGGATTTTTCCAGTTTTTAGCAATATTTGAAATTTCCAGAATAAAAAAATTCTCTTTTATATATGGGATTCTTTAATATATCAAAAAACACATTAAATAAATAATATAATGTAAAATAAACAAATGATAAAAAAAATAAAAAAATTTAAAAATTGACCGCAGCTAGGGTTCGAACCCACGCCCCCTCGCTTTATGCGAAAGTCACTAGCACATGGTCTTTGCCGTTGGACCACGCTTATACGAGGATTGCGCTACCTCATAGCTTCAAGTACCCTCTCCCGGTTCTCAATACTAAAGACTTAAGGGGCCATTGCGGCCCCCCTAATTGGTCTATAAAAAATTTGCTTTGATAGAGGGGTTCGGCTCATAGAGGCCTCATTTCGGTCCCAGATTGAAAATTATAGCTTAGTATTAAAGGGAAGTAGGTTGGCTTGAAATTTGATCGTTTTTCCCGTCATTTTATTTTATTTTATTTTCTATTCCATTATGCTTTCTTTCCCTAAGAGACACCCTTGATTCTATACTTAGAGCAACATATTTCGCGAGTTAGACTATCGTCAAAATATTGTAAAAGCAGTTTAAAAAAATAATATAATACAAATAAACTGATTTCTAGGGATTTTTCCTGTTTTTAAGCAATATTTGAAATTTCCCGAATAAATCAATTCTCTTTTATATATGGGATTCTTTGATATATAGAAAAACACATTAAATAAATAATATAAGGAAAATAAACAAAAGATGAGAAAAATAAAAAAAAATTAAAAATTGACCACAGCAAGGGTTCGAACCCACGCCAACTCGCTCCATGCGTAAGTCACTAGCGCATGCTTTTTGCCGTTGGACCACCCTTATACGAGGATCGCGCTACAACATAGCTTCAAGTACTCTCTCCCGGTTCGCTTTACAAAAGACTTAAGGGGCCATTGCGGCCCCCCTAACTGGTCTATAAAATATTTGCTTTTATTGAGGGGTTCGGCTCATTGAGGCCTAATTGTCGGTCAGAGTTTGAAAATTATAGCTTAATATTAAAGGGAAGTAGATTGGCTGAAAATTTGATCCTTTTTCCCGCCAGTTTATTTTATTTTATTTTTTATTCCATTATGCTTTCTTTCCCTGAGAGAAACCCTTGATTTTGTTCTTAAAACAACATATTTCGCCTGTTAAACTATCGTAAAAATATTGCAAAAGGAGTTTAAAAAATAATATAATATAAATAAACTAATTTCCAGGGATTTCTCCAGTTTTTGAGCATTATTAAAATTTCCCGAATAAAAAAAATTCTCTTTTATATATGGGATTCTTTAATATATCGAAAAAACACGTTAAATAAATAATATAATGTAAAATAAACAAAAGAAGGAAAAAAAAAATTTAAAAATTTACTACAGCTAGGGTTCGATCCCACGCCCCCTCGCTCCTTGCGTAACTTGGCCTTAAAATTGTATGTATATATAAAGCTCTATAATGCGAGCGATGATTCAAAATATTTTATGAAAGTTATCATTATAAGAAAGGCATTTTTTTCCCTCTAATATGAAGAAAATAGCATTTTTATTTGCATAAGATTTTACATTTCACTCCGGAAAAAAACAAAAGGAAAATAAAAACTTTTAAGTATGTGCAGAGAAAACTAGAAGTCTTCATAAGTATTTTTTAGTTTCCCAACACTTTATTTATAAAGGAAAATTAAAAAAAAAAAATTTTTTAAATTATACTTTAAAATAAAATAAAATTTTTTTAATTCTATAATAATATGAAAATAAAATCTAAAGACAAGCCATTTCAACTTTATATGTGGCTGCAAACAGCACCTGGATTCGTATCAGTGCTCTTGAAATTGTACTGCTTTTATTTTTTCTATAAATTAGCGTGGTAGTATATGGCTCTATAATAATAAATCTGACCTAAGTTCCAAAATTATAGGCTAATAGCGTTAAATAATGTCTAAAACTTATGTTTAAACTAATATCAATAGATGGCGCTGTGCCAATGATTTTCTTTCTTCTATTTTGTTATATTTTTATTCTCTCTCATGGCATCTGTATTAAATAGACATGTTCGTATCTCCGTAGTCATTTTTATTTTTCGTATCCAAGTATCTTTATAGTACAAATTACTAAATAGTAAAAGAAAGTTTGGCTAGTATGTATATTTAAAACATGAGCTATATTTTTCAATTATAAAGGGAATATTGACGTTTCTTTTCGACCCCGTTGCATTTTCACTGATTCGTCTATAATTTCCAGACTTCGTCACATGTGTAGGTAATAATAAATGGGGGCCAAGTTTTTTTGAAAATTATCTATGAATAAATAAGGAAAATATCATTTACGTTACTCCAACTATTTCGTTTGTCACCGTTTATGGAATTAAAAAGGCTTATGGTTAGCTAATTTTATGTTCTTTCTTTTGTTACAGAATTTAAAATCTTTTTCGTTTTTTTAGAGTGTGATAATTTAAAAAAAAAATGTTTTAAATTATTCTTCAAATATTCCCCATTGAAAAGAAAGTGTTGGAACACTGTAACGTTTCTAAAGATTAATTGTGTTCTACATAAAAGCTTTTATCTTGTTTTTATATTAACCTTAAATTTTCACATTTAGCCCAATTTATTATTTTAATGTACATAAACACAAGAGCAACCCCCAAAGTGACTTTTTTCTATTATTTTTTTCTTTATTTCCCCTGCATGAAAGCATGTACTTTCCCTATATATTAATCTAGAGTCGCGATGGCTCAGGGTAGGGAGCATTCGCCTTCCAATGAGGTAAACCGGGTTCGGATCCCAGAAATGGCTGGTCGATACGAATTCCGCATCCGGCTTGCACCGAACTCAGTGCTGACGTGAAATATCCTCAGTGGTAGATGGCTCGTGAGTTAGAGTCCCTTTGCCATCAGGCAAACCGTGGGAGGTTCTCGTATTCTTCCGCTCCATGTAACTCAAATGCAGGTTAGTTCCGTCAGAAAGTCCTGCACGAAGACGAATTTCTCCCAATACTTGATCCAGGAGTTCCCTTGTCTTCTGGATTGGGTTCGAAACTACGGAGTTGAACAGTGGTAGTCGTAAACGCAAAAAAATTGGGTAGGTTGCTCAATGACGGTTATGAAATAAAATACATATTACTCTATGATTTTCAAACTTGGCCCTATTTATTTTTACATTATACATAACATTTAATCGAGCCAGAAGCTTATAGACAAATCGATTGTGACACAAAGGGCCTAAATCTAATGTTATTACTCCTGTATAATAGACTAATATAGCTCATGCTCTAAACATACACACTGCAAAAAATTTCTTTTAATATTAACCTATAATTTTGAAACTTGGTCAGATTTATTGTTAAAGCTCACCAAACTACCATATCAAGCTGTAAATTTATAGACGAATTAGGGGTAGAACATTGGGGCACTATTGGGCTCATTGTGCGTTGTATGCGAATCCGCGGAAATGTCTTAGAAGCTTGAACACAGCCTATCAGCTTGATATTCATAGCCCCGTGGCCCCCAAATTGATACTTCTGAGTGCGTGAGTTCGAATCCCGGGGCGATATGTGATGTCGTAGGTAAGCAGAAATGTGGCTGGTTGAAAAGGTTGATGAAAGGTTATCCTCTTCTCGAACCTTCTGGCAAAGTTTGAAAAGTTATCCTCTTCTTACAGTATTATAATTTAAATAAAGTATTTCAAATTATCTAGTTCAATAATCTCTTTTAATGAAGAAAGCGCAGGGACACTATGAAAAATTCCTTGTGTTCTCTTTATATACAAAAAAAAAAATTCATATATTTCTGCTTTGCTATTAAAAAAAAACCTTAACGCTTATAATGGGTGTCCCAAGATTAACGCAAGATTTAAGTTTGCCGCCATTTTTGCAGTAAATTGTTGGCAACCCTGAAAAAAGAACGATTTGACAGCTGAGAGTTTTGGGTTAGCAAAAATGGAGGGTTCAAGACGGTGCCACATGCCATACAGCCAGTGAAACAATTCAATTACTGCGAGAGACATTTCCTGGTCTTGTACTCTCTCGTTTTGGTGATCAGAATTGCCCCTTTAGATCGTGTGATGTAACACCATAAGGTTTCTTTTTATGGGGTTATTTGAAGTCGAAGGTCTTTGTCAACAATCACTCGTGCATTGCGAGAAGAAATTAAACACTCAGCGAAATTCAGCCACAATTATGCAGAAAGGTCATGAAAAATTGCAACAAAAGAGTGCGTATGTGCCAGCAAAGCCGTGGAGGCTATTTGCCCGATGTGTTATTCCATAAATAACCCTATCCTATGTACTTTATGATTCAATGAAAAAACAACAATCTAAATAGCAAAAACTGTTGGTTGGTGTCGTATCCTCTATTGAATCATATTTCATGGTGTGCTTGAATAGTTTTTGTTATTTCTATGGCATTAAAAGAATACAAATCCTCTTCTGTGGGGTAGTTTAAGAGGTGAAGGCCTGCAGCGACTGCAGAGTAGTTAAAAACATGATATGGTGTCAGTTCCACATTAAAACAGTTTTGATATTTTCTAGTCTTATCTGTAGAAATTTTCATGTTTTTATGACGTTTTGTTCTTAGTCTGATGAGAGTAGTGGCTGTCTTCCTATCGATGTCAAGATTAGTTATTTGATCGTGGGCTTTGATTTTTAAAGGGGTGAATAGTCTTGACTTTGCAAAAGCATTTGCATCTGCCAACGTGGTTGGGATTGAATTTTGATTTAGATCTCTGGCATTTTTAGCCAAGGAATCAGCTATTTCATTGAACTCTAGGTTCCCATGGGCGGGAATCCACTGCAAGAAGTAATTTTTCCGGAGACGCTGAAGTTGTCCAAGTTGTTCTATGATATTCAGGACAAGGCTTGAGGTACCTTTGCTGAGGGCCTGTAAAGCAAAAACTGTGTTTTCTATGTAATTCAAACCTTGTGTTAATTTTCGAACACCGTCTGTAATGTCATTATGGTTATTACTGTATAGGCGATTTAGGCGCTTTTATGAGTTTTAAATAAACTCTACTTTGAAATCCTTTCAAGAGCTTATGCCCCGTTCAATTTATAAGAAAAGTAAGATTTATAATAAATTTTTTTATTGTAATTCACATTTGTTTCATGTTAATTTTTTTTAAATATTTTTCGTTTGGAGAGAAAAAATGCGACATTATATAAAAATGCACAAATTTATTATTTCCAAATGAGTACTTTAACGATGCTTGTAAATAAAATTTCACTATGATTTAAATTATAAAATTGAAACAGAAATTTCAACTTCCGAACATATTTCTTTTCTCGATGCGATTCAGTGCGTGCCATTTGAAAAAAAAAGTTTAGTAAGAAAACTACATGACAGTTTAGGTTATTAATGTTTTTTTTCTTCCTATTTTTTATATAATTTATTTGTATTTTGAATAATGTATCTAATACCAATTGCTAAGATCAAAATTTTCTAAAAATTATAAGCTTTTGCTTACCTATCCGGATTAATTGTGAAGTCACAATAAATCATGAAATTAGTGATGCAAATCTCCAATCTGTTTACGTATCCCTTGTATCTGTCTACGGAATTATTTTTATGCACTAATTACAGACTAATTTTTAATTGTGTAAGAATATAATAATATTAAAATACATTAAATATTAAATGGTATATGACTGAAGTAATGGCAATTTTTTTGTTCAAGAAGATTTTTCATTTCTTAGCCTGAAAAATTTTATCTAAAAAATGTTCAGCATATTAGAACAATTCTCTTGAAACCTTTGATTTAATCACCCATTCTTTTTAAGTGTCTTTAGAGGAGATGTGCTTTCAAAAAACTTCAATTCAAATTCTTTAAAAATTGAAATTTTTTTTAAATATTTCTTTCAAATATATTAAACATTTAAAAAAAATTCCCTCAAGTTTTAGAAAGGACATCTTATATACTTAAAGATACTTTATTATTTGATTGGTTCGAAAATTGCCTTTTTTTTTTAGGCACGGAACTTTAGTTCTTCACCTCTGAAGATGCCGGAAGTGTTACTTATTTAACGTAACTCAGTGGGCAAATGTGAACCTAAGTCACGGAGGCGAGTGACGTCACCCACGCCACAGTACCTGCTTAAAGATTGTTCCACATCCACACATCACAGAACAATACATGGAGAGAAACACCGATGTCCTGAGCGGGATTACGAACAAGCAACCATTGGCATCACAGTCAGGCAAGCTGACCACTCGGCCACCTGGCCGGCGGTTCGAAAGTTGTATATCCGCCATTAATATAACACAGAATAAATGCTTTCAAAATGTTTTCTGCAATTGACTCTGTCAAGAAAATCTTGAATTTGATGAAATGCGGGAAAGAAAAAACACTGACAACTAAGTTTTATCACACAAAAATATAATTCATTAAATAAATCACTTCCTTAGATTAAACATATAGAATAGAGATGAATAAAGAGATCATAATTCTTCTGTTGCTCGCTTGGCTAAGAAATCAACAAGCCTAGGCAGCTCTACCATTCGTCCTAAGTACCCCAACAGCTGTGGATGAGTTTCCAATCCCAAGCCATGGCGGTATTTAAGAGCAGCCAGCGCCAATGTCATGCCAATATCACACCATGTTACCTGAAAAATTAAAACGAACATCTATATTATATAAAACGCTAATACGTATGTATCAATAAAACCGATGATATTTCTTTTCTCGCGTTGGCAACAGTTTTCATTTTTAACTGATAGGCTTCGGCGCGCAAGAGCACGTAGTGAGCATCATATGTCTAATCGGGTAAATTCTCACCGAATTATTAAAGAAATGTAGAAATTATTGAGTTATGCATGACTGAACATGACATCTTTAAGTTAAACTAACTATTTATTCAGTATACTACAAAGTGAAAACAAAATGGAACGATGATTGTAATATAAAAGCAAAAAATAACAAAGAGCACGGGCTTCATAGGTAAAAGTTAAATTAGCAGTGCTGATCTGTTGCCAGATTTCCTATTGATGTAAATGCCAATCTGTTTTTTCCTTATTAACACATATATCAATACTTTCCCTTGTTAATATATAAAACTTGAATGAGAGAATTGTTTGATCAATTTTGGTTCGCAAAAACACCTGAAACTTCTGTATGGTTAGTAAGGAGGAATACTGAGAAAGCTCTATTTAAATTTTGAAAAAAAAATTCTTCTTCCTATATGTGGTAATACAAAATGAATTATACCAGCCATTCCATAATCATCACCACTCAATATATAGTTTAATAATCGGTCCCAAAAACGAAGTCAAAAAGTACACGCATTCTCCTTCAAAAGCACTACTACAGATCAATCGTCTCAGTAAGTGCAGGGAAAGACCATTAGACAATGCCAACCTTCATCTATCAAAAGGTACTCCAAGATTGATTCAAGTTAGCACGCCTTATATACTTGTAAATTGATGTTTAATCGTAGTGGTAGTTACGCCACATTAATCCCCCACCAGAACTTTATCAGGGATAGAATTCAATGAGCGGATGCCACAAGTTGCTGTATTTGTGAAAGACCGGAAGAGCTGAATTAAGGTCACCGGGTTTTGAGCTTTAGCCATGAGAGCTATATTGAGTACATGGTTGTGCGCATGGTCACTCCTGTAGCGGTCGAGTGTGTGCAGAAACCAGTTGTGTGTAAATGAGACTGAAAAGCAACAGCGCGAGGAGGACGATGGCGCAGTCACAATTAGCAAGTCAACAATTCAATGCGGATAATCCCTCGAAGTAGGCGTGTTCATATCACGTCCGGGTCACCAATGTGGGGAAAGATCATTAGACAATGCCAAACTTCATCTATCAAAAGGTTCCTAAAGATTGAATCAAGTTAGCATGTCTTATATAGTAGTGGATTGATGTTTCATAATCGTAGTGGTAGTTACGCCATGGTAAGCTTCATAAAGCTTCATTACCAGATGCCATGGTCTTGCGCGAAGTTTTCCTTTTCTCCTCATATCACTCGCAAAGATAACCTTTTTAACAGGCTTCGAGTTTTCACATCTAACACTATGTCCGAGACATTTGTTATAATATGATTTGATGCCTCTTGAAATTATTTGTTTGAATTTTTTTTTAGATTGATGCTTAAACAAAATGTGGTTCCGAAAAGATAATGGGACTGAAAAGGCAATGGGCCCGAAACTATAATAGAACTAAAATGACCAGATAAAAATGACATAGAATAGACCGACACAATGAAAAAAACTAAAATAATTACAGTTTTTTATTTATTTATTATATTTGGTCCTCCCCGGTGGCTTTACGTTATTAGGTTAAGAAAAACACGTTTTTAAAAGTTCATCCATCAGAATAAATATTAACTGTATTCAATATTATTATTTATAATATGGTGTTGCTTGAGGTCAACTCATGCTAGTCAAAATTTCCCAATCAAGTAAATTTATGAACAGTTTTTAGGAACGGGACTAAAATGGCCCTTTTTACTGTCTGAATTTCAAAACGACAGAACCAGCGGTTCGTGAGTTGTTAGGCACACAAGCACAAACAAATTTGTTATTTTATCATAATAGATTATTTTTACCATGACATAAAAAAGAGATTATTTTCATGCATAGTCCTTAAATTAATTTGAGTCATCAGCGCTTTAAAACTTCTCTGATCTCATTTTTATAAAACTTATCAAACAATGTCTCACTTTGTCCGATTAAGTTGGTGCAGTGTGCTACCATTTTCCCTATAAAACGATGACTTGAATAGATAAAGCTATTATGACAATTGAATTCATTACGATAAAAGCGTTAAATATTTTAAACAAACTTTTTGTTATTTTACTTACTATCTTATCTGATGCATGGGTTAAGTTGTTGAATAGGAAGATAAGACGCAAATAAAGAAGAATACTTTTAAAGATAAAAACCTTTTTTAATCGTATAGAGCAAGTAAATAAGTTAAACAAATGAAACGCTTATTCAAGTTATGTAATACCTCAAGGAAAATTTCTCATTGTTGAAAGGGAAAGTTCCAAAAAATAATAGATTCAATCGTTAATTCACATTCTAACTCTTGTAGAGAAACTTAGCTAAACTTTAATAAGCCATTTTGCTGATAAAGATTAGTTGGCACTGGCGCCATAGGTCACGCGTGCGAATATGGGAGGTCTTCTTCTTGAAGTACAAGTACTCAATTGTATTTTTTTACCTTCTTTTCTGACAAGTGTTTTGAAGATTCTATAAAGAACGATTTTTGCGGTAGACCCAATATTTTTTTCATTATTATGAATTTTACTTTGAATTTTTTAAAAACGTATATAAAAGAACAATATCACATATTGGAAAAAAAAACCAGGAAGATTGCAAAATTGGAATAATACGACGGAATGCTCCTGACAGAAAGATTGCATATATCGGTATTTCGTGTTTGCGAATGCAGACTATTCCGTAACGACAGCGCTCATATATTTTTAAAAATGCATGCAAATCACAGGATTAATTAATATTTAAAACTGGAAAATGGACAAAAAAAAATCTAACGAATCACTGCAGTAGAGTGAGAATGAAAACTTAAAAACCTTTTAAATAGCCAGTGGCAACTCAGAAGAATGGGAAAAGAAAAACCTCGAAGTTTCACCAGGAAATCAAACTGGATTTGATCTTAAGAATGAATATTTCACAAATTCGAAAAAAAAAATTTATTGCATTTTTCGAATCTTTGTACCCTTCCTAATGTCTGTCTAAAATGATTTCTCGGTACCTAACTTCGTTTGGAAGTTATACCGGAAAATAGAAAGTCGTCGCTAAGCAGGTAGAAAGGCCCGTTCGGCCGGATTAGGAGGGGCGACATTCTTTTCGTGTCTCATCCATTCTGTTGACTGCATATAGAAACTTATTTTAGGCATTTCATTTATTATACATGAAATTAAACGTTTTCCCCTACCATAAGTCAAAACTTTAAAAGCCTTTTTCTCAAAACGCTGTTTTTTGACCTGACCTAACGTTTTTCTCATGATCTGTGCAATGAAATAAGCTGTTCTTTATTTTAAATTTTGTAAAAATATATTCTTTAGAAAGTAGCATAGGATTTTTTTGATATTTTTATATTTCGATTTTATATTAGTACTTTAATGAATATTTTTTTAATGAAAAATTTAACTTTTTTTTAAAGTTGCCACCATTTTGGTAATTTTGCGAATATCAAATAACCGCTATGCTACTTTTTAAATAATGTCTTCATGTTTCAGAAAATCTAAACAAAATAGTTTTCCTATGTTTCAGGACTTCAAAATCCATGAGGCCAGTGAGGTGCTACTTTTTGATGACTAGCCATACACGGAGCTACCGCCAACTTACTTTTTATTATTTTGTAGAAGAAAATTTTTTAAAATAGATTTAAATTGTAGCTAAATAACATAAAAAAACAAGGAATTTCTGCATTGTCTCCATTACTTAAAAAAAATTCAAGAAAAACGCTAATATTTTTCCATCTTAGGGTGGGGTCCTCCCTTAAAGGAAAGGGACAGCGACCTAATCGAACATGGTGCGGGGTGTTTTTCATCGTTTGGTCTCGATCCCTCAGTTTCTGTGGTTGCAAACATGAACACTGAAACGTTTGTGGACATTCTGGACAATGCTACCAACTTTATGACAATATTTCGGTGAATGGCTATGGGGATAATGGGGGGGGGGGACCGCCTTCCAATGAGGTGAACCGGGTTCAAATCCCAGTGATGGCTTCTTTGCCGACCATGCAATCATTCTCATCCTTCCTCTTCTCCTACATCTTTTCAAATCGATCGCGATAAGGAAGAACGTCTATACCCAACACAACATCAATAATTAATTATTCATCATTAATTATTCATTAATTACATTAACAATTTAATAATTGCACTAACTTAATTACATTAACTATTACATTAACTTAACATTAATTAATTATTAATTATCATTTGCCCGTTAATGGAAGCAATTATGAGTCTAATGCGCAGTTGTATTGATCATGACGAAATGTAAGAAACTCACCTCTTTGCCGACCATGTAATCATTCTCGTCTTTCCTCTTCTCCAGCATCTTTTCAAATCGATCGAGATAAGGAGGAACGTCTTCGGCAATCATCTTCTTTATGATGGCACTCTGCAGAGAAATCAACACACTTTATACACGAAAGTATATTCAAAGGAATTTTCTACGTGACAATTTAGTGAATTTGCTTTAAAGTTTATACGTTGGATATTATAAATTAATTCTTAAGTAAGATTTAATTCACAGACCCTCCACAAAGGGAATACAGAGCGTATCTATTTTTTTCCCAATCAAATTGTTTACATCATCTGGTTCTATATAACAGTCAGGAAAACGTCACTTAACAATTTTATTCTTAATTCATAACCGGCATTTAAACAGTCGACTCAATTCAGAGTATACGACTATCAACATTCAACTCCGTATCCTTCTGATTTTGAAACCAATTCAGAAGACAAGAAAACTCCTATATCAAGCACAGGAGGGCCGGGACAGCCTGGTTGGTAGGACACTGCGCCCATGTCCAAGAGGTCGTGGGTTCGATCCTCGCCGGCCGAAGACTCCCCGTGTAGTAAATGGTGACTAATGCACGTTAAATCTGTCGAGTCTCAAAATCCTCCATGTTCCCGTAACAAATCATACCTCTGGGGGTACTGATCCAGGAGTTTCCTTGTCTTCTGGGATTGGTCCAAANAGTCGTAAACCCAAAATTGGGTCGGCTGTTCAATGACGGTTATGAAATATATCAAGCACAGGGACAAACTAACCTTCTTGGAGGACTTTTTAAACTAGGACTTAAAAAGTGTCCGTATGTTGTTAAGAAGTAGCCATTGTTAAAAATGGTCAGTAGCAATATTTCATAATTTTGACCTATACTAACAATTAACCTACAATATACAAAGAAGGTACTTTTTTTTAAATTAACATATATTCTTATCAACGGCTTTGGATATTTGTGACTATTTTATTTTGAACAATCGACCCAATTCTGAGTTAACGACTATCAACTCCGTAGCCCTATAATTTTGAAACCAACAACGAAGACTCGGGATTAAGTATGAGCCAAACTAGCCTTTGTGGAAGACTTTTAGATGGAACTAACCCACATTTGCGTTGCACGGAGACAAAAACCTCACATGCTTAGCTCGACGGCAAGGGGATTCTAACCCATGAGCCATTCACAACTGAGGATGTTTTACGTGGACGGTGCTGTGGTAAAATTGGCAGTACTCATCTGTATGTAAACCATTCACGCAACAAGCAGTTGTGTACATTTGCCACATTGGACAGTTAAGTATTTTAAATACTATTTGTGTAGCTAAAAACTTTGGTTTTTAAATATGCGCAGCATATACTGAATCTCCTGGTAAAATATTGTTTGATTTAGTTTAACTTAGATAAGGTCATGGAGGCTAAGACTCAACAATTTCACGACCAACGACATGCTTGTGGCATTGTGGTCAGAATTGCGTACTGGCCGCCTTTACTTCTCAGTCAAGCTGATACCCATCGATCTGAAGTAGTTCAAATTTCCAATTGGTGAAATCTATTCATTCCCGAAAACCATTTAAACTCTTTTCGTCATGGTGTTCACATTCTAGGCTATTTAATTTGTCAAAATACATTCCGTCTAAAAAAGATATTGGTCGACTGCTGTTACCAGATGCACATTTTTCTTCTCCAAAAACGTTAAGAAAAAAGTTACTACTTAGAGCCTGCACCCACTGAGCTATTTGAAACTAAAGGACTGGACAAAACAAGTTAGTGTTGTATAGTTTTTTCCCCTGAGAAATTCCCCTTTCAAAAACCTCTTTCTTTTTTAGAAATTCCTCCTTTATATTAGCCAGACAATAATTATGATATAGCAAACCAGGTCAAATTTGCCATATGGGACGATTAAGTATTTTAAATACAATTTGCGTAGCTAAAATCCGAAGTTTTTAAATCTTTGCAGCATATACTTTACCTTCTGGTGAAATATTGTTTTAATTAGTTTAACTTAGTTAAGAGTTTGATTATTTGTCGTTGTTTGTTCAAATTACGTTTCATTAAAATACGTAAAATTGAAAAAAAAAAATTTTTTTTCTTCCTAATCTATTAATCGATTTAATCTTCGTTTTTTTAAGGTTTAAACATGTACAAATTCAGTTTTAGAATGATTTTCCTCTAAGCTAGTGATCACCAATTCGTTGATCGTGAGCTACCAGTAGTTAGAGGGGGATCACCTTGATTTTTCCACTTAGTTAGCAAACCAATTGTAAGATTCTTTTTTAAAAAAATAAATAAAAGTAAGTATCTCTGATACTTTCGGGACTTGGTTTAAGCAAAAGTGGCTGGCAATAAATTCAGCATTAAAAGAGATTATATGTTCACACGTTAAATTTATCATGAGAGACATCCTCGTGCAAATTTTTCTAGTGGAACTAACTGCTTCCAAAGAGATTTGATAGACAGAGGGTAATAATATTATACTATTACATTGTTGATATTGGCATCATATACAAACCCTTTCATCTCTGCTCAGTTGGTATACTTCAGCTCTTCTTATCTTAGAAAACATGTGCCACAGGCCATCCATAACTAAATCACACAAAGCGAATTCCTCCTCTGTCTTTCCCACCAAACCTGCACGAAAAAGAATAATTCCCATTCAATTTTTTTTTTGCCAGGATAAAAGAAATTAATAACACTATATAGACTCTAAACAATTCTATTACAGTCGTTATTCTCTAAATATTTGATTTTACATCAATCTTAATCTCATATTCCTTTATAAGTAACTATCTAAATATCCGTTCTTTTCACAGGTTGAATAAAAAAAGTAAAGAATTAATAAATTAGTATTGAGAAACGCAATGAAATCATACTCAAAACTGAAAGGCATATATTGAAACTATTAAAGAGCTTGGTGGAAGAGCCAGGAAAGTGACATTTTTAGAGAAATTAATGAATCATAGGAAATAACAGAAAGGGGTTGCATCGATATGGGCAGAATTATTGCAACAGAATTTTTTTTTTTTTNTTTTTTTTTTTTTTTTTTTTTTTTTTTTTTTTTTTTTTTTTTTTTTTTTTTTTTTTGCCTTCACTTTAATTTTACCATAACTAATCCACATTAGCTTTTAGCATGTTTACAGATTTTTATTTCAAATTAAGCAGTGATAAATAAAATAAAGCAAAGAATTAGTCCAGCTTTCCAATAAATTGGTAACAAAATAGTTCGGATACAAAATCTTTTTTCGTTCTGAAAATGTCCCTTACCTGGTTCTTCCACTAAATGTTTCAATTAATATTTCTAATTATTTCAATTATTTATTTAATATTATTTGTTGCTCTTTTCCGTGGCTTTATATTACTTGAGTAAGCAAAACTCGGTTTATGTAGTTCACTCTATTAGATAATATGTATTCAGAATCACTTTTCAGGATACTATTGCTCGCAGCCAACTCATGATAGTCAAAATTTACCTCTATCACCTCTATCTACTATAATTTTCTCAGGAACATAGTCCTTTCTAGGGAATGTAAAACACTTATTTCCAAAGCATCGGCATTAAATTTGCTTAGTATTGGCGCAGCTTTAATAATCACCAAATATGTCAATATAATATTTTATACCTATATTAGTGTACTTATTACATAACCCTCCAACATTTTACTTTTGTGTGAAATACATCTGTTAGTAGCAGCCAACTAAAACTATTTTTTTAAATAGAATTTTTATTAGAACTTGATAAGGATTTTGAAGCATGGCCATTTCCTTATCTGGCATTTAATTTTCTGTTAAAATATTCATAAGTAGTGGTGGAAAAAAGTTCTCTTAATTCAAATTCATATTAAATATTAATAAATATATTAATACTTTTGGAGAAAAAAATTTTTTGAAACTAAGTGAAATTCGTTGCAGAATTCTTATGGAAACTGCACCAATTTCCATAGTACCAGTAGTACTAATTATATTGAATTATGGGGTGAGCTGTATTAAGGTGCATTAATGAGGTGAATTATTAAGCTGTATTAATTGCATCAGTGAAAACCTTTCAGTTTTGTGATTTTCATGCCAAAAAAGCTTAATTAGAATTGTAAATTTAGTTTCGTGAGTGCTAATTAATTTTTTTTATACCCTTTACAAAGAATGGGTAATCAGATATTGATTTTGTACTTTAGTCTTATCGATATAATGAATAATAGTTCTAAGGAAGAAAAAAATCCGGAAATGTTAAATAAGTTTTAGATATTATCTTAGAAACAGTCATATACTTTGTATGGTTAACGTTGATTGGATAAAGGTTAATCAGATAACATAATCAATTTTAACTAAGGTCGAAAACAATTTCAAAGAGCAAATTTCTCGCTAATAATCGCTGTTCCATTAAAAAAGAAATGCTTTGTAACTTTCACATTAATAAAGCTTATAAATTTATTATACAGGATTAATAAATGTTCCAAATTTTCAAGAGTCAGCGCAACGTTAAATTAAAACTAAAAATAACTAGAGCACCTTTTTTTGTTGAAATTACACAAAGAAAATTAATATTTTCAATTTAATTTTATCTAAAAATAAATGAAGTATATCCTTTCGTAATTCTAAGTTTTAAAACTTAATTTATAGTTAATTTTTAGATAATATAAAAATATCAAAAAACTTCAAAATTTCCACATTTTTTGCCGGATGTGTTAATATACGAAATAAATGTCTGGGTGACACTTTCACATGATTGTACAGTGCGCAAAAAAGGACCACCCTGAATAACTTTTGATCTAATGAACGGATTTTCACGTTCTAGGACTCAGTCTTAATGTCTCGAGGAGATGACCTCAAATATGCCAATTAATAAGTTCCGAAGTCAGACACAAAAACGTTCTTTCTCTGAATAAACATACCTTTTTTTAGACGGATTTGGATTTTTGAACCCCAAAATATAGGGGGTCGCCGCTATCTGGGAAATGTGGTCCCAATAGTTTGGTCAGGAATGCGCTCCAAAGTTTGGACCCTTAAACGTTAATTTTAATTTTTGCGTATTTCGCTTTATCTCGAAAATTTTGTAATCGAATTGAGAAATTTTTGCTCGCAATTATAAAATTCGTTTATCCAAACATAATTCCATGTAAATTATAATTTTTAATTAAATATTTATTATTTTTTATGAATTTATTTAATAATGATCAAAAAAATGCTGAATTGTAAGGTCTACAATATTTTTCGTAATTTTAAAGAACGTCATTTTACATGCCAAATACATTATTTGAACAAAATAGGTCGAATAGTTCCTGAGAAATTTTTTAAATAACCGACATTTTTGAACTTCAATTTTTCAAAAACTATTCGACCGATTTTGCACAAATTTTGTATTTTGCAAAGTAAAATTAATGCTGACCATATTTCCCACTTTTGCCTTTTTACATACCCTAGTCATGTCGTGTAAAATAATTCCTGAGCCTTGGCATGATATGTCAAATAAAACTTATACATACTATACATACAGAATTATCCATTTTCATAACACATTTTACAAACAATATCACGTGAATCTATTGCACGAACATATTGTGTGATCGATTTGCAACGTTATTTAAACGTTTTTATTTCTAATGGAGTGAGAAATCCTTTGACATTTCAGCTACAATGCATACTTAACACTTACTATAGGGCCGTAATAGAGCAAAATATAATAGTGGTACTCAAATTTCCTACTTTGCTATACGATAAAATTTTTTTAAAGTAAAAGTAACGATTTAAATTAGATATTACCATAATATTAAAATTTAAAGTAAGCTTTGAAAAGTTTGGTCTCTTTAATGTAAATTTTACTTTCTTTTTACAGATTTCGCTGTATCTCTGGAATATATAAGAGAATTAAAACTTTACGTACGAAATTATAGAAAGTGGTTTAATTAAAGGCAATTCTACATAAAACTTAATCTTCGATAATTATTTTTTGTTGCCTAATTAATTATTTAATGAAAAAATATTAAATTGTGAGACATACAATTGTTTACAACACTTTGAATTATAATTTTAAATGAAATCCAGAGAAGAAAAAAAAAAATCCATACAAAAAATCCAAAATTTGAATGGAATAGGTTAAATATAAGTCTAGGAAAAAAATTTAAAAAAGTTTCTTTTTCAAATTTTATTACTATCAAAAATTATTTGACGATTTATTCAAACTTCGTATTTCGTCATTTAAAAGTAAACAGTTTGGAATTTTGTTGCATCCCGCACTTATGCTCTGCGCAACGCAGTTAATACAGATCCAATCTATCAGTTCCTTACAGAGTTTGCGCAGAGCACACGTGAACATACGGGATGCCAAGAGAAAGTGCTAAATCTTTCTACTTGCACAGCACCTTTAGTTTTATTGCGCGTTCGAATACACAGAGTTCTTTTTTTTTTCTTGTCCCCGGAAATTGTAGTACAAGATTTGCTGTACTACTATTTGAAACGTTTATAATTTAATTCTTCCAGTGTGCTCAAGGGGAGTCGTGGTGGGTCAAGAGATAGAGCACTAATGAGGTGTAACGGGTTTGAATGCCGGCTATAACTGGTAGAAATGAATTTCGCACCCGGCTCGCTTTGACCACAGTGCTGACTTAAAATATCCTCAGTAGTATAAGGATGATGGATTAGAGCTCCCTAACCGTCAGGCTAATGGTGGGAGGTTTTTGTGGTTTTCCTCTACATGAAATGCAAAAACGGGGTTAGTTTCATCAAAAGGTCCTACACGAAGGCAATTTCTCCCAATACTTGATCCAGGAGTTGCCTTGTCTCCTAGATTTGGTTCAAAATTACAAGGCTACGTAGTTGAACATTAGCAGTCATAAACTCAAAAAATTGCGTCTGCTGTTCATCGACAGTTATAAAATAAAAACAAAATGTGTTCAAGGGTGAGGTATAAAAAAAATGTAAACACTTATGAAATGCTTAAAGTTTGGTGACCCCGTTTCACATCGTCGGGTTTTCTGCGATGCGTGATGACTGATGTATGTCTTTATTTTTCACTCGTCTAAAATTGTTTTCTATCACATAAACGAAATGAGTTCTTGAGACAAAAGTAATTTGCACTCCTAATTTTTATTATTTATAAACATACTTGACTTACAGACTAATTTTTAAAGAATTTAGTGAGTGTGACATACGGCGGAAGTATCTTTCCTTGACATTTTACCTTCATTGGTATTTTAAAATTGTTTGACATTCTGTACATCCAGTATTACTTACCTTCAAAAACTCAGACATCAGGACTCAGCGACGAAGTGATTCTGTCATTAAAATTTTCGTCATTTAAATTAATGTCGTTTAAATTTTAATATTTGAATTTAAAAAAAAAAAACTTTCTGCATGTATGACTTTCTTTATTTTTTTTATCGTCGAGCAGACGATCCAATTCTGATTTTACGTCTACCAATGTTCAACTCCGTACCCTTCTAATTCTGAACCCAATTCAGAAGACAAGGAAACTTCTAGGTCAAGTTTTGGGAGAAATTTGCCGTCGGGCAGGACTTTTTGAATGAAATAATGGAGAGGAAAACATGTCCTTTTGAGCGAGGTAATGAAGAGGAAAAATGGAGAGGATTTTGAATGAAATCATGTAGAGGAAAATAACGAAAACCCCCATGGTAAGCCTGATGGTAAAGCGATTTCTAATCCGTGATCCACTGAGGATATTTTACGTCAGCTCTGTGGTCAGTGCGAGCTGGGTGTGGAATTCGTATATACCAGCCATCGCTGTGATTCGAACTGGGCCACCTCACTGGGAGGCGAGTATTCTATCCCCTGAACCACCGCGGATCAAAAAACTTCTATGTTAACTCTAAGCTTACTTGAACTCACTTTTCTCTAAACTCTAAATTTGGAGGTGACGCAGAATTTCTCATGACAAGATTCTCTCGTGGTATAGAGTCCTCTTTAGGTTAACGGTGAAAATTTTTATTGCCCAGTTTAGGGAATAAGCCCAATAGGCTATGTCAGAAAAATTTCTGATTAAAACATACCCACTAGTACTCAAAATTGTGAGAATTTTCAGGCACGGTGGGTTAACAAATTTTAATGGAATTTGATCTTAACATTGAATATTTTAATGCGTAGTTTATACAATAAACCCAATAGGCTATGTCAGAAAAATTTCTGATTAAAGCAAACACTTTAGTGCTTACAATTGAGAAATTTTAATGGAATTTGGTTTTGACACTAAAAATTTCAATGCCTAGTTTTAAGAATTAACCCAATAGGCTATGTCAGAATAATTTCTGATTAAAACATACACACTAAAACACAAAACATACACTTAATTGTGAGAATTTTCAGGTATGGTGGTCTAGCAAATTTTAATGGAATTCGATCTTAACACTAAAAATTTTAATGCCTAGTTTAGATAATTTACCCAATAGGCTATGTCAGAATAATTTTTGATTAAAGCATACACACTTGTGCTTCAAATTATGAGAATTTTCAGTTACTGAGGCTTAGCAAATTTTAATGGAATTAGGCTTGAACACATTGACATAATACAAAATACTAATTACTATTCAAGAGTTATGATACACACACGTATGATAATACCTGTTAGTCGGGCGTGTTAGTTAATGCATGTTAGTTGGAAGGAAGGAATCAGTTAGTAGAGAATAGAATGGGTTTGTAGGGAGTATAGTCCCCTTTCACAGACATACACTTACACTGACTTCCCACAGTGATTTTAAGTTGAATTTAGCAGTTCTTATGGCATCACGTGAGCATGTAAACGCCGCTGTCAAGCTCTGAATAGTTGCTGATGAAGTTTGAAAGTTATACTCGTATTAGTTCTCCCCAGAGAGCCCTTCCTCAATATACTCTATGCAGTTGAGGCAAGCTCATTCGATTATTATCCTGGTTTTCTTGAAAATCGTGCCTAGGCGAGCTTTATGCGACTATGCGTTATCGACTATTAAAATGAAACTAGGGCTAACTGCATTCTTGCAAAGGTGAATATAGGGCTCTAAGACCTTACAACAGTCGCTTGCGTCTACGCCATTGAAAGGACGCTCTGACTAGTGTAAGTTTTAGGGAGGGGATTCCTGTTTGCTAATTTCAAAGACACGGACTTGCGTGACTGACGGGAGGTCTAGGAATCGTATGTTCACCTTTACAAGAACGCAGTTGGCCGTTATTTTATTTTAATAGACAACAAAGCAAGCTCGCAAAGAGTTTTCTTAGGCGACGATTTTCTGGAAAATGAAGATATAAGTCACTGGATGAGTTGGCTATCTTGATCTCCAGACCTCAGTTCTATAGAATATTTCTGGGTCGCTCTGGGAAAGGCTACTACAACTCGCAATCCTACTACGTCACCAATTGAGGGTCTGAAGAGAGTGCTTTTGAAAGATTGAGACCAATTGTCACGGGAAAAATTTATGTATCTTTCTCAATCTTTCAAAGACTGTGCTTTTGAAAGATTGAGACCAATTGTCACGGGAAGTGATGTACAAAGTAATATTTTCATTTCAAATAATACTTCATTTATGGCAACTTCAAAAATTTATGTTGAAGTGATTTTTTATAATATGCTTGTTGCTTGTAAAAGTAGCTTCAGTAAGGTTTAAATAAATAAAGTAAGGTTTTCTTAATAATAAAGATTAATAAAGGTTTAGAATAATAAATGTTTTCTTCATTGTTAATTTCGCATCAGCAGCAAAAAAAGTCCTAATGCTAAAAAATAGTTACTATCAAAAATTTTTTTCCTATCTGTAGTTTAATTAGAATTAGAAAAATGCTCATTTTTAATTTTTCGAGTTTCATTTGAAGCTTCAGGAGTCAAATATAAATTTGTGAGCATTATAAAAACTATAATTTTTATACAAAATCTACCAATCAGCTGCTTTTAAATATAACAATAGGCTTTTCAATGATCATCAAGTCTAAGATAATAAGTGAAATAGTATAATCAAAATATATATGTACCATGTTGCCTTGCTAAATATCTGCAGATGCTTTGATGTTGTGCGATTGCTTGACCATCTACTTCTAAAACTGGAAGCATGCCGAAAGGAGATGCTAAAAATTTAAACAAACAATTTATTTTCAAGCACTTTCATAGTTAAAATATTCAATAAGAAAATGGTTAACACTCAAGGAATAATACACACCTCTGCAGAGCTAAAGGAGTTCCGCTTTCAATTTTTTTTCAAGCCTCAATAAATTAGATTTAATTACACAAGCCTGCGAAATTGAACTTTTTGAAAAATACAAGAGAAGTTATTGTTGATTTATATGTTATTTGATGTGCTGATTTAGAAAATGACCTTCATTTTCCCCAATCACATCAGGATTTTTTATAAAATCGATATTAATGTTTTTAGTAAAATCCTATTTGGAAAGGAATTTTCTCAAATAATTTTGCATGTACTATCCGGTAACTTCCTCTTCATTCATTTTGATCTATGTAAAATTTAATCTTGTGAAAGAAAATTGATTTTTGAGCTATCAACTAATTTTTTATAGGCTAAAATGAATAAAAAATACTGTTACCAGACAGCAGAAGTCACCTCTGGTCTAGAGAAAACCAATAAGTTCTTTGTGTTCAAACTTTTTACATCAGTTTCTAGAAGAAAATCTCCAATATACCATTTTAATTTGTTTTTATTGAGATAACTTACGTAAAATTGACGATTAGCCAAGTATAACAAATATTGTGTATGTGTATATGAAAGTTTGAAACAAAAAACAAAACAAGCAAAAAACAAAAGAGAAAAGTTTCTATTTAAGTGTATACTCGTTTTCCTCTGAAACTTATTTTTGATGATCTTCTTTTATGCTTAATCTCAGGTCTATCCAGAGCTATCATCCAACAGTAGTCAGCGAACATGTTCTTGTCCGATCTTCCTTGCGCTAAATATCTCTGATATCTTGATGGAACCTTTCCCCTTGTTCTTCGCTAACTGATCCTAAATTTTCAGGGAAAAAATCCACACGTGAGTGAAGGAAATGCATTTTTACACTCATGTGGCAACCCAACGTTTTAAATTTGTCCAGCATTTTCATTACAATTTGCTTATAATCAGGATCCTTGTAATTACGCAGAAATTTTCTGACGACATCTTTGAAAGCAACCCAAGCTTCTTTTTCCGTTTCTGTCATGTTAGTCTCAAATTCCGCAAATGGTCCAACTGTGGTCGATATATTTTATTTTGTTCAGGGCGAGAGCCAGGTTTAGATATTAGTCTTTGATTTTTTCGGTTATACCCACGAACATGGCAGGAACAAAAATAACAATCATCAAAGTGGTTTTGGCGCTCACTCCACGTCATAGGAATTCCAAATCGTAAAGCAGTCTTCTTTCCTTGATGCCATAAGCGTTGATCATTGAGACACTGCACAAAAACTTTATGAGGTGCCCAAGATTTGTCTTGATCTCCGAGTTTCATGTCAAAATATGCGAGATAAAGTTGTCTTACTTAGTCTGTAATGCTCCTCATGCGATTTTTAACTACACTATATTCACCGCATGTATAACAAAAGTCATCTGGGAAATTTTCACAATGTCTTGAACTCAATGCCATGTTTCACGAAACGCACAGAAAAAAAACAAAGTTTAAAATGACTCCCTATCGCTTGCTAGTGTTTCTGAGAGGTCAGCGGACCTAGATAAGGATTCTCGCGACGCTATTGGTAGAGAGAGATTGTTACAGAGAGAGGGACGGTGACAGGAAGTAGTGATAAAGGGGTACTTTTGTAGATTTGACCAAAGTAAAATGCTGGTCAGTCAAGAAGGGAAGAAATTCAAAATTTTTTAATGGTAAATGTTCATAAAAAGTCCAGTAGAATTGAATTTTTCAAAAAAAACGTGACGTGATGGACATTTTTCATTATTATTTTCCATTTCAGCACCAAAAAATACATTAAGTTCAGCTATGAGACCCCTTGTATTTTTTTCATCGCAGGCCTGTGTTATTAATGCTTTAGTATATCTTTAGCTATATTATGAAACATGTTTTTAAAAAATTATGCTGTGCGGTACAATCATTACGCATGGTAGTGAGTTTTCATATAACAGCTTGTCTACCTTTCTTTGTAAGTAATTTTAAAAATGTAAACATAAAGTTTAAAAACTATAACAATAGCAGCAAAATTTTGAGAAAATAAATCAACAAATCACTATTACCTCACCCTAAGGAAGCGTATATATCACTATAACAATCACTATGTAGTGATTGTTTTATTTAATTACTTTAAGAAAATTATTAATTTAATAATTATTAATTTGATAATTATTAATTTAATTATTATTAATTTGATAATTATTAATTTAATGATTATTAATTTAATAATTAACTGATCATTGTAAATGTTTGATAAACAACTTCAGATTATAATTATAATTGCCTGCATTGTAATTATAATTTATAATAACAATTATAATTTATATCATTAATTGCAATTTATTTAATAAGTTATTAATTAAATTCAAGTACATAATTAATTAATTAAATCATTGTAATTTGTAATTTCATGTTAGATGATGCCTCATAAAATACTTCCTGCTTGTATTAGCTTTTATTTAGTTTTTATATAATTAAAATGCTGAGTAAGAAGTACACGAAAAAAAAAAAGATCTTGAAACTTTAAAAATATCTCTTTAACAACAAATGAACAGCAAATGAATCGACAATAATTTTAGATTCCGTTCTGGAAACTTTTGCTAAAAATACTCCTTAAAGCAATCATTCGAAAAAAATATTATGTAACAATGACAATTCTAGATTTCGATGAGATGCTAGTGTTTACAAAATCATCCGTTTTTACAGGTGTAGCGTGAGTCTATGTTTTGGAACTGGTAGCAGAAACCTTGCTGTGCCGGCTGCGGCGAGACCTGCAGATTTCAACAACATCTGCTGATAAATTTTCGCCTCAAATTTCAATTAAGTAAATAAATATATAACAATAAAATACACAATGATAATAATTCGAAATTTTCTGAATTATTGTAAAACTTATAAAGTTTTAAATTAAAAAAAAATAATCTGCAGATATATGAGAAGATCTATTTTTAAAACGTTTATTTATAGAATTTTTGGTAATAAAAAGAAATTTAGAGAAAAATATTTTTTTCTGTAGCTAATTTTCAAAAACTTTTATTATTTGGCAATAGGATTTCAATCATTGTACGAGAATTAATCCTATTTTAAATAACATTTCATAAAATTTCAATTAATTTACTCAGCATAATTTTTTCTTTCAAATAATTTTTTATATTTCTTAATATGTAAATATTGCCCTTATATATAATATATTAAGCCTTCATTTTATAATAGCAATTTCTGTCTAACTGTGACAATTTTGTACTTGCGAAGCTGTTGCTACAAATTAACTCAGTAAATTCTGCTATTAAAGTAATAAGAAATAAGAATAATACCAAAATTATCAATTTAAGTATAATACCAGATTCTGGTTAGAGGGAATAAAATATTAATAGACAGACTGAAATTTCTGCTTTTCTCAAGCATAATTCTTTCATAAATTAACTGCTACGTTTTTCTTTTTCTTTGATTGATAAAATAGATTTTTTTTACAATTTTAAATTTAAGAGAATGTTTGCCATTAGCTGTCAAATGAAAAAATTTTGTGAATAGATTATTTGCTGAAACCGAACTTTTGTAATTTTTCGGTATTTTCGTGGCTCTACTTCTAAGTTGATAGTCTCTTTTGTTGCTGAAAACATAGGAGAGTTTTAGTTTCTTTCTCAATGCATTCCGAAGTTAAGGAATTGTCTAACACAATTTCTTGAATTCTGGAAAATGGAAAATTTGTGCGTGTGCGGGGGGGTCAAATTGACCCCCCATGCTGACGTTGAGGCAACTCAAGCCACGAATAAGGTTAAATCCCCACAAAAGGGATTTCTAGTAGGCGTCTTCCCTAACCGAGGGAGAATTCAATCAGAATGAAACTTGTACCGGCGAGATAAACATCTCGTGGAATCGGAAAAATCCGATTTGAATATATAATGCATAATCAGGAAAATCTTATGTTTATTTGTGTTTATGTTTAGTGTTCCTATCGTTATGCTTAATAAATATATAAAAAAGGAAAAATTTGGGAAAATCATTACAAATTTCAACGGACAGGCTATTACTATTGAATAACTCAACCTACAGGCTTGATAATAAATAAAATATTACAGACGTCCCTGCGTTTATGACCAATAGCTAATTATTAAGGGGAGTCGGTAGGGCTTATATCAGTAATGCTAAAACTGACCTTTTTCGATGTACATTTTCTAAGAAACTACTAATGATATAGCCTTTTGGGGATATTTTTAAAATTTTTGAGGATATTTTAAATTTTATCAGCTGTGAAAATGTCTTAGAGTTAACAGGAATACTTTTTTAGTTTTTAAAAAATTAAAAGTTCTCAGTTCATAATTTTTAAAAAAAAATTTCTGCAAAAGATATGTATTAACAGTCGTTTCACTGTAAAAATGTGCATGTAATTATTCAGTGAAAGAAAAACTGAAGCAATGTTTTATTTAGATGATAAGTCAGTTTCAGCATTATTGGTATATATATGCCCTACTACCGACTGCCATTAAATGATGCGATTATAAAATGACGCACCAAAAACGTTAAAAAAGTGATTTCAAATTAATTTTGAATTTAATTTGATATGTGGTGTTTCGAAAAAAATAAATCCATTGAAAAATGAATTTTTATTTAATTGTGAAAATTTTAAGTTTTGGGTCCTCATTAAAAACTAAAATAATGAAATTTTTTCTAAGACCCCCAATAGTATCGTAAAGTAAAGTTTTAATTATTTTATGCATTTGGTATAGTGCGTTTTGAAATTATATAATTACAGGTTCCCAAAACGTTGAAAACATTTTTTGCAAATGTTCATTTTTAACTTTGATCTGGGGGTTTGAAAACAAGAAATTGCGAAATGTTCTGCGAAATAAAATATAAATAAAAAAATTATCTGTCAAAATCTGCGAAAAGTATTAATTTCTGTTGAAAAAAGTATTATCAAACAGTTACATTGCTTATTAAGTTACACTAGAAAACTAAAAAAAATTGTCTTTTGCAATAATAATAATGTGCTTCTTAAAATGTTTAAATAAAAAATTTTCGAGTCATTTAATAAAAATTTTTTTTTCTTTCTTTTTAATATATGATCAAAGCAAAGTATAACAGCTCATAACAATTTTCGAATAAATTAGTCTTTTGGAAAAGTTTCAATCATATTTTTATTTATACATGAGCTTCGCGGAAATTTATCTATATTAGCATAGATACATATTTTTTTAAGAGAAATTACAATACTGCATGTTTGATGAGATTCACTTCTATAGAAATTACAGATAGAGAATTTTTCTATACTTTATTGTTAGGTGATAACATTTATTTCCTTTCGAATTTGAAGTATTTTTCATACAGATGACGGCAGGAAATCTGAATTAAAAAATGAAACGAATAAAAAAGAAAGATTTCTATTTAGAGAATAAAAGAAGAAAGGGAAAAAAATATTTGTAAGGAATCTCGTTTTGTCGGCAAAACTTAGTCATTCGTATAGTAGAATCAGCTGTTTGAAGGTCATAGAATTCCGTAACAAATATGGCTGCCGGCTAGACGTCTTCCTAACTGTTGAATATTAAGAAAAACGTTCAATTCGTTACTTAAATAATGGTGGCACGTTGTTTGATTCCGTTTGGTATTGTATTAATTGGAGGTATTACGTATGGCATTATATTAGCATTAAGACCCTATTTTCATAAAGCAGATGTTGTGATTCCATTTCAGAATCTCACAAATAGCACTAAAAATGATTCCTACATCGCTTTCAGAATTCACTCTTATGATGAAATGTTTGAAAAGAATAATTTGTCACTCGGGATATTAAATCACAGTAAGTTAATTCGTTTTATTTCCTTAATGTTTTCTGTGGACCAATCAAAATATTGTTCGTTAACTTTTGACTCGCATAGAATATGACAGGTTTTTTATGAATGTGTTTTGTTTAGGTTTTCATTAATCACATTTCCTCTTGTTTACGTTGAAAATTTTTGTGTTTATATCCTTGTAGTGTTGACAACTGGTGTATATGACCGCTTTTAATTAGTGCATAATCATATCTGAGACAAAAACTAAAATTTTGCTTCTCTTTAGAAATAGGAATTAAAATGAAAATAGATTGGAATATTTTAAACGTGCGTCGTTTTCTTGGAACATTCTGTTAAGGGTTAGGTATTTTTTTCACTCGAAATTTTAAGCATGCTTGTGAAATTAAATTGTTACGGGGATTCCATTATTGGAAAACCTAAAAAAAATGTTTTTAAATTCGAAAGCCTAAAAAATTGTTTTAATTTCTTAAACCGAAAATAATGTTTTTAATTCAAAATTATAAAATAACTTAGTGTTTTTAAGTTAATTTAAATAGTAGTTTCTTATATAAATGCTAGTGTATTAGAAATGAAACATCATCTTATGTTTCAACTATAAAAAAATTTATAAGAAAGGAAATCAATTAACCATAGAAAATTTTGTTGGAACCTCTTTTTTTTTTTTTTGTTCCACTCCTGCCCTCTGAAACTCTTAGGAGACACCGCCTCCACCCCCGTATTCGACTTTTATTCCAAAATTGAAAATTTTTCACTCTTTTATATTTGCATTTTTTTAATTTGCTTTTTATATGAAGATTTTAATGCCTTACGTAATCGTTGCCCACCGCCTTTGTCAGCAAAAGTAAACTAATCACAAAGTTCCGCCCTTCGTCAGATGTTTACGCAATGTTTGAACTGCCCCAAAGTCAATATTCTTTATATGAATCTATACTAATATAATTAAATTTGTATTCAATTTAATCTATTCAATTTTTAATTATTTTGAAAGATGCATACAAGAATTAACATAATTTTGAATCATATAATTTAAAATAGTAATAAATGTACCTGATGCATCAAATCTATTGATTAAAAAGGTCTCTTTTTTTATTCCCTGTATACAAAGTCTTAACCAGGAACATTAATTGTATGCCTATTTCAATTAATGATGTTTTAAAAAAAAGCAATAATTGGAACTGCAACTCTAGGGAGGACAGTTACTATTTAAATGTTGATTGCTTTAACCAGAGAAAGAAATAATAATACAATATTGATGACGTAAACTGTTTAGGAAACAAAACCCCACCTGCATTGAAAGTCACATGATTTTGAATCACAGCAAGTTTTCTCTTCTATTTGTAAGTGAAACAGAAGGAATAACGACTTAAAATGAAGGTTTTAATTAGTGGAGTTATTCTTATATTATTTATAAGTATATGGATTATAGTCATACTATCAGATCCAGATTTTCTTCACCCTGTCAGACCGTTTCAAAACATTACGAACAGCACACAAAATGATTCATATATATCATTCAAAATTCGTTCTTTCCAGAAGGAATTGTTTCAAAATGATTCATCACAACAGGATATCAGTAAGCTAAAGCATTTCATTCTTATCACATGTTAGCAAAGTGAATTAATAATTATGGTTACTTTCATTTTAATTGTCAGTATTAACTTTTTGATTTCCCTTTAACAATCGTCTTTTTCTCGGGTTTGCATTGTTGACTTCTGTATTTATTTTCTTGTATTGATAGTTTGGGGAGATTTCTGTGTCATGATCTGTGGCAGAATAATCGCCCAGTCTTGGAAAAAGTTTAAAAAAATTCTCTAAAATAATTTGCAAGTTTAAAATCTATTTGGCACCTTGGCGATTGTAGTTGGCGCAACAGATCACGATACGGAAATATTCCCGCCGCTTAGCAACCACGGGGAAAAAAAATTAAAGGATTTTATCAATTTCTTCACAGTTGCCTAGCAACGTTTAGGAATTCAATAAACATTCTCTGTGAATTGTATTGTTTGGAAAACTTTCCTGTATTTATGCATTTAAATATCTATTAAGGTAATTCAAAAATATAAATTTTTAAATGATTTTGTTGGGATCCATTTAAAAAAATAAATGAATAGAATAAAATACTTTAATAATTTTGAACAGGGTTGTAACCGTAGAAAGAAGGTTTAAGAATGTTATCAAGCACTTCTCAGTTTCTTAGGAATGAAAAAATTTGCCTGAATATTTTATTATTTATAAGTTTTTTCGGTAAACGTCGTGGCCTGTTTCGTTGTCAGTATTTTATACTAGTATGCCGACAGTAGTCTGATTACTGGTAATAGGAGACACCAATATCTTTTACTTTCGTTAATAGATGGACTAATAAACTAAATAAAATAAGAAAATGCTTCTTTATTGTTTTATAAAAAAATAGATTTTTGAATCACTTTTTTATGCATGTGTTTTGATGTTTTCTGTACCCCAATAGATTTCCCCCTACAAGATATGGTAGTCTTACGCATATCTTTGGGGGGGGGGAAGCGTTAATATTTAAATGTGATGTTATACTTGAAACTTTAGTACAAGTGTGACAAACGCAAGGGTCTGTCTAGGTTTTTCTGAGAGGTACCTATTATGTGAAAATTTAGACATAATTTGTGAAAAATTAAAAATTATATTAAAAAATCAACACTGAAATATGGATTTATCGTTTCCTACGGTATACAAAAATAAAATTTTAAGAAAAAGTATTCTGTGAAATTTTCCTAAAGTTGAATTTGTAAAGGTACCGCTAAACGGTAGTAAATTTGGCCTGGACAGATCCCTGCAAACGTAAGGATGTTTAAAAAAAAACACAGAGAAATTAATAGATATTTTTGGCGAATAACAAAGACAAAATTGATTGCAATCAATTGGTCGCTAATACCACTACATCAGGAAAGTAAGCTAGATGAAAAAAAATTATTAAAAAATCATGTGTACGAAAATAGAACGATTGGTTTGGTTTAAATATGTTAATAAACGTGACTTTTCGTTCCAAAATACAAGACTTGAAGTAAATCCATCATGAAGTTTTCGAAAAATCAGTTAAAATTATTTGTTTTTCTTTATTATTATTATTATGACTTCTGTTATTAAAATTATAATTTTCTATCTCAGTAACTACTTAACCGATTTTTCCCCGATTTTGTCTTTTAGCATAAATATTAGGTTGATATTAAGGTTAAAAAAGTTTATAACTATTTTGTTACACTTTATTTTATTTTTATTTTTTTGACAATTTTTTTCCGTTTCTTTTTTAGAAGAATATAGTCATAATTTTCGAGACTATCTCTGAACTAGAACTTTCATTTTTATGATTATCACAGGAACAATTTTGGCACCGGGAATTGTGCAATAGAATTAAATTAAAAAATTGTTTACCCTTTTCGGCCTCTGATGCCTTGTCTTTTTCGAATCGAACATCTTCAAATGGAACGCCAGCATACTCCAATATCGCCCTCGCCAATTCAGCTGCTGTTGTAAAGTTGTAATCCACAAGCTTGTATTTTGCCATTCTGGAACAATATTTGAATTATAACATACATTGCAAGAACCGTTTCTGAATATATACAGTCGGACTTCTATTTAACGAACTTCCATTCTGCGAATTTCTCGATTTTGAGATTTCTTTCGAGGCACCAGGGACATTTTGGAAATTTCTTCCTTAAATAACTTCCAAATAGCAAAGTGAATTTTCTATTTAAAAAATTTTACTTTGAGATCCACTAGGTGTTATTTTACTATTACAGTCTTATTATAGATTTATACATATTTTCTTTTATTTCACTTATTTAAAAAAAATTAAGCCAGTCGTTGGTTAAGGATGTGATAAAGGCTCTACAACTACAAGGCTACCACCTTGATAATTGCTTGTGGTCAGCATTGAGGATTAGCAGTATTTACTTATATATAAAGCTTATATATCTAGAAAAAAAGTGTTAGAGAAACTCTGATTGTCCCACTAAATTCAAACCCTGATGTTATTTACTAACTTGATGCAAAAATATTTAAATAAGTAAATAAATAAAATATTTATTAAGTAATGTACTTTAGCAACTTTATTTTCATAGTCTGGATGTTTTTCGAAGCATATCTTTTATACCTCTCAATTTAATTTTTGCTTATAACCATTTAAACAGTTATTAGACAATAATACTTAAAAAGTATTTTTTGAATTTTCAGATAAAGAGGTTTTAGAACTGTGTGCATTCTTTTATATTCGTGTAAATAATTTATTTTTTTGAAATTAGGTAACATGAACAACAACATTAAGAGGCATAGCTTTAAGAACAATAGCTAAATAATGTAATCCTATATCCCAGTTGCTACTCATCCAATCTTTGAGAGTAGATTGTCAGATAAGTTATAAAAGTTATAATATATACAAAAGTTATCTGTGAGCAAAATTTTATGAACATTATTCACAACACTTCACATGACACGTTGCATTTTCATAAATATTATTTTTAAACTGATTATTTTTCTGAAAAAAAATTTAGACTTAATTTCAAGCTTTTTTTTTGCAATATTACACTGTTAGAATTGTCATTTTGAAATTACGGTAAAATAACCGGCAGCAGTCTGTCCAGCCGATTAACTATTAAGTTTACGGTTAGGAACATTTTCTGCTTACCTTTACGGTTTTGGAACCGTTTACAAAAGGTATGGTTAAAAAACCGTGAATAGAAAAAATATACTGTTTTGTAACCATTTACAACTGGCATAGTTTATAAATCATAAAAATAAAATTTAAACGGACATTGGAACTCGGGGTGCGACGCCATTTATGCCTGAATGAAAATTTCGTATTCTAATATTTCAGGGTCACTGGAAACTCTTCGTGTAATGAAATGGAAGAAGTATTGTAGTGTCAACGATGGGATTCGAACCCCTGTTCAGCCGGTTATGAGATTGACCGATTAGCCCTCTTAGCTATACCTAGGTGCACGGAACAAAATAGCTTGATAAGGTTGGCCTAGTTGGCTCGGAAATAATTCTGGTAGTTATTAGGTAAAAATTATTAATAATGCGTATTAGCTAAAAACAACCAATATACTTTTCTTCTCACACTTAACAGTTTCAATATCATCTTTTTTATAGTTATTTGACTGTTTTGGTTGAATGTGGAAAATACCAATGAAATAAATTGCTATTTAACCATTTTTACCGAAAAATTTCTTACAGTGCTAGAGGCTCTATGCTCACCAAGCCACGTGATTGCTTCTTATAAGTCGATAAAAAAAAGACAATTTTTTAATGAAATATATATTTATTATAATTTTATGTAAGTAAGTCTTATTACTATGTTAATCGTAGCGAAATGAACAAATACCTAGATTTGAAAAATAATCAACGATATTTGAGAAAAAAAAGTATTTAAGCTTAAGGGGTAACTATTGACAATTGATTACGATAACGTTATATTATCTTACAATACAATCTGGAAACAGTTCTTATCTTGCTTAAGCGTTTTATATTTAAAAAGATTTCGATATTAATGTTAAGATTCATATCTCGCACAACATCTTATCACGCACTCTTATTATATTTGTTCAAATTTTTTTTTTATTGTTAAGTTTGACAAGTGCGTGTTTAATAATCAAGATTTCGACTAATGTAATTGCATTTTTCTTCAACAATGGAATCTCGTAAAAAGCACTTCAAATTGCAATACATTTCGAACAAATTAGAATTTCGATAAAATAAAAAAAAACTCGCATTAGATTTATACACAAATAATGACCCTTTCAGCTCGTCAAATTTGAACTCAGTAATTGAATCTCTGCTGACTGCATAACGGTTGACATGGTATTTTTTACTACAAGTTCGACAGAGCTAACAAACTATGTAACGTAAAGCGAAATAAAAGTGAAAAAATTCCCTCAATTTTTTCACGCTTTTACTTTGATTTTAAAATGTGAAAAAAGCTCGTTTCAAGTTCATAAATGAAAATGGTCCTTTTCAGCACATCAAACTTCAATTCTTTAGTTGTATTTCTGTAGCCGGCACTGCTAATCAATCCGCATGGCATTTTTTACTACAAGATTAACATTTAATAATTTTTCAACTCACTATAAAAAAAAATTTTTTTTTTATTTTTTTTTAATTTTTTTTATTTTTAATTTTTTAATTCCATCAACTCCGTTGTACAATTTTTGTACTCTCTGTCTTTGTTTCCCCTCTGTATTTTTGTACCTATCTTCAAAATGGGACAGTTTTTACGCTGCAAATTAAAATTGTTTGTAGTTTGATTTATATCAATAGCGAGCTTTAAGCCAATGCGAAAATGCCATTTTTCAGCACATTACTTTTTTTTTAAAATGCAAATTATTTTAAATTATTTAGAAATACATTTTAAAAGCATTTCATTTTTAAACGTTTCTCCTGAACGATCGAATTAAAATTTTTGAGTGATTTAAGGATCCGGGCCTAAAATTTCCCCTTTCAACCACTGTCCCAATTTCAGAGCGCTAGCAAAAACGATTTTGGAGCTTTGAGACACACGAATTCTTCATTTTACTATAGATTTTTATGATGAAAAAGCTAATAGTTAACATTATCTTGTTTGTACGACGACTTGTTTTATAGTTATAATATAAGAACTAGCAGTTAGCATTGCTTTATTTATAAAATTTAATATTGTTTCGTTTATATATAATTACAATAATACCGCTAAGAGGTAGATCATGTAAACTCAGATTGCGTAGCGTTTTTTAAAAGTGCTTATTTTTGATTTACGTTTTTTAAAAGCCTTTAAAGGTGCTTTTTTCATTCGGGGTTTGTAAAAAGGGCTCAGTTTTCTATCTTTTAAAAACAGATTTTTTTATTCTATTGTTGTTCTATATTAAAAAAGATGCACGATTTTCACAATTTTCTAAACAATATTTTTCACTAACTAGTTATTTTATCTTGATTATGTAAGGTTTTTGAATTTTATTGATGTTATGTTTATAAATTTTAGCGATAAAAAAATAATAATTTTTATTACTGCACAGATCCTAATTATTATTTCTTTCGAAAAGTGATTAAAAATATTTTTTGAGTGCTTACAAAGTACTTTAAAAGCTGCTTATTTTTTGTTGAAAAAAATCCGGCTCCGCACCCTGAAAGAGTTAATCGACATTTCAGTGAATTTTAGACTATCAGCTTTAGATTCATGAAAAATGCTTTGGAATGAAATTGAAGTAAAATCTAGACTTACCTGGTTGTAGGAGAATGAAGTCTTGTAATAATGATTGTGTGCTGATCCTTTTGAGGGAAGTCTTTTCAAATGTGCTGACTACCCGTGTGCTTCTTGTAAATCGTCAAGAAGTTTACGCTCCACGGGTCAAGGCGTACGTTGAGCCCAATTTGTCCTGAGTTTAAACTCTGCGATGCGAGATGACTCAATGGGGGGATGAGTTCACATAAATGAGGGACTGTCAAAAAAACTTCTTTTCTAATTTTGGAGTTCTTTTACCTACATGTATAATAATTCTACGAACTACGTATGATGTAGTAGTTAACAAAACTACACATTGGTTTTAGATAATGCTTCCAATAAAGATTTGATTAATTAAAAAACTATTTATAACTTCTTGATGTGTAAAAAAAAAAGAGGCAAAACCCTAAATAACTTTTGATCTAATGATCAGATCTTCACGTATTAAAACTCAATCGAATAGGTCTTGCCCTAAATATGCTAATTAATTATTGCAGTTGATATTTTAAGGTCAGACTCTCCAACGTTCTGAATAAATATACTTTTTTTTCTTCAATGGATTTGGATTTTCGAGCTCTAAAATATGGGAGGTTGTCGTAACCTGGAAAATATGGTCCCTATTGCTTGATTAGATCAAAAGTTTGGGCACCTTCATGACAAACTTACTCAGTGTGCAATTCGACATGTCTCGATTACGATTTAAGGAATCGAAAAATTTTTACACACTGTTATAAAATTCGTTTATCCAAAGATATTTCCAAACAAAAAACAATTTTAAATAATTTTTTTATTTTCTGTATTATTTTACTCATTAATAGTCGAAAAGGTAAACAAAAGGTTGAAGTAAAGGTAAAGGCTGTAAGGTAAACAAATTTTTCCATCAAGTTAAAGAATGTAATTTTCAATGGCAAGATACAAATTTTGAGCAAAATAAGTCGAATAGTTTCTGAGGTATCAAATTCAAATTTCGTTTATTTCTAATGTATGATAGCTGATTATCAAGTTTGACGTTATTAATGAAATTTAATTACCGTCATAATTTCCAAGATATTTTTCTGAATGGCAGGAAATAACTTGGACAAAATTTAAAACTAAATATTTTTGAGTGCCATTTAAATTTTAAAATTTTTATGAGAAGTATTTCATTTTATTTTAAACCCGTCCTTGAACAGCCGACCCAATTTAGGTTTTACGACTACCAATGTTCAGCTCCGTAGCCTTGTAATTTTGAACCCAATCCAGAAGACAAGGGAGCTGTTGGATCAAGTATTGGGAGAAAGTTTACCTTGAAGGACTTTCTGATGGAATTTTACCCACATTTGCGTTACTTGGAGAGGAAAACCTCAGTAACCTCACACGGTTACTCTGATGGCTGGGGGACTCTAACCCATGATCCGTCTATTACTGAGCATATTTTTCGTCAGCACTGTGGTAGGTGCGAGCCGGGTGCAGATTCGAACCCGGATCCGAACACGCTCTATCCCCTGAGCCATCACGGCTCTGTGTGCATAATTAGCATAAATTCTTGTCCGTACAATCACTGTGAGCAAATGTTTTTTCTTCCCTTTAATACTGGGTTGCCTAAAGGAAATCATTTTGACTGCTTTTTTCATTTGCAAAAAATGTACAAATAATAATGCATACATTAATATTTTCTTTCCAAGTGAAGTAAATTTTTTTATTGTTAATATTTACTAATTACTTGCTATATATCTGTAAATAATATAAAAAATATTAAAAATTAATTTTAAACAAATTTCTTAACGCATTAGTTATTCTTTCACAATGCAGTCATTTTGACTGCTTTTGGGCTATATAGGTGCTATATATTAAGTTTCAGACTTTCTAGTGTTAATGAAGGCTACCTTTTTGAGCCTATAGCAGTGACTATTCAATCACTGATTGAGAAATATGTTGGTGATTGATTTATTTACGTAAGTTTATCTAAATTAAACGTTGATTTCGTTGTACTTTTGAAGAGTATTTAATGTTTAATTTGTAAGTGTAGCCGATCCCTCTTGAATGTGACTGAGTAAGCGTGACTGAAGAGATAGATGTTCAAAAAATGCCGAAGAAAAGAAAAGTATGCAAATGAGTGCTCCGTTACACATTCCTGTTTTAAAAGTGGAATAGATCTCTTCAAGCATTCTGTCGTTATTTTGTTTTATATCTATCCATTCTCTGTGATCTTGCCCGCTTCGAGATTCCGATCTTTTATTTTTTCTTCCTTATTCTTGAGAGCTTAATAATGAGTAAAATTTTAAAAAAATTTCCCCCTTTAAACTGCTTTTTTAAAAAAAAATTTTGCTTACTATTGCCTCAAGTATTTGTTGAACACTTTTCAGGTTTAACCTATTCCGGGAGGTCAAAATGCATACGTATGAAATCAAGATAGAAAAAAAATTATTAGCTTAAGCGAGGTCATGGCTAATTTGTCAGACTTATTTTTTGCTTTCCTTTTAAATCTAGCATATCTCATTAATGTTAGTTCAAAGTGAACTCTACAGTTTTTATTTTGAACTAATTAGTAGCGCTATAAATTAGTAAAACTATTATTACTCCGCCCACAAATAAACGGCTGAGTTAGACTTCCTGTTTATCCTTTTTACCCTGATTGCCGTCACCGAAGCTGTCGATCTTCGTGGTTTTTCTTGGAGGTTTTTGTGGTTTTCATCACCATGTAACGCAAATGCGGGATAGTTGCATTAAAAACGTCTTCCACGAAGGCTATTTTGTTCTAATGCTTGATAAAAGAGTTCCTTTGCTGGGGTCTGTTTAGAAGAAATTTGGGTTCGTTAACGGACCACAAAACATCGTTTCATAAAAACGGACCCTTCACAAAATATTTTAATTTAAAAACGGACCCGTCACAAAATAATTTATCTTTTAATCGGACCCTTCACAAATTTATTTATCTTTATGGTTTATTAATCTTTATGGTTAACTTTATGGTTAAATTTATTTATCTTTATGGTTAACAATATGGTTTTGTTAATCAAATAAACCCTTTCCAGGAAGGGGGGGGGAGAAAGACATGTAAACAAACTAAGTTTTGTCTTCGGCAGATGCTTCTTCCTTTATTCGTCCGAAATGAATATTCTGCTGCAGCAGTATAGGCTAAATATCAAATATTTGTATGTTACATCTCTAATTTAGGTCGCAGCAATGGCTGTTTATTTTTTAAAATTTAATTTTTTTAATTATAATTTTACAGTGTTGAGCATAATCTTATATGTCTTTACAATTTAAAAACTCATTGAAAAAGTTTTTTGCAATAACAGGACCCTATTTGCGCAAATTCACAAAACCAGTACCCTGGTTAAAAGAATGTGACTTAACGTTTATTTTATATTCACAAATTACGAGTAATTTTTTCACAATTTTTCAAACACGGTCCTTTCACAAAATGTCTGGACAGAACCCTGCTTTGTATTCTTGGATTTTAAGTCATTACGAAAGTAAACATTGATAGCCGTTAACCCCAAAACTGAGTTGGTTGTTCAATACTAGTTGTAAAATAAAATGAAATTACCAATATCATACCTGCCAACTTATACGCTTTTGGCGTAAAATTTTATTTTTATATTTAAAGCGGTTCGTAAAATACATGCTTTCTATATATTCCTTGCATTTATAAACTTAATTTATAATCTTTTTGACCACCACTATTTTTTAAAAAAATTAAGCATATATACTAATATGTAATACTGTTGAGGTAGTCCGCATAAGCTTAGTTAAAATACAACGTATGTTTCCGCCTAAAATTGTAATTTAAATTCCATTTTACTACCAATGAGTAAAATCATCCTAGAAAGGATTAGATGAGGCAGGTAGGCAATATGGAGAAATAATGCTTTGAAGATTGAAATTTAGATTAAATTTTTGATTAATTAAAATTTAGTACCCTCATAATTTGTTACATATAGATTAATTTTTAATTAAAAAAGTTCTCATACCCCAGTTGTGAAGGTTTATAATAAACAGTGTTGTAATATAAGAGGCACTATATTTTGTTCGTTGTTTGGATCAACGTATGTTTGTAAACTAATGTTTTCTTATCAAAATGTAAATCAAAATATTGTTTGAGATAAACTTTTATGTGTTCGAAACACTTAATTAAAATAGCATTTTCAAGAATCAATCCTATGACGTGGTTAAAAAACATCGAATTGAAAACCCTTATTAATTAATGACTAACTTTTTAACAAGTAGTATTTAGAATAAAATTATTCTAGTTAAAAATTTTTATTTTATACTAACCTGACTGAAAAATTAAAGACTACCTAACAATAATAAAAAAGTTTGAATTTTCGTTTTATTTTATATTCTATTTTTAAATCTTCACTGCTCAGAATTCGATGAAAAATAAAAATCCCAGAATTATTCTGTAACTAACATTTTTTTATTATTTTTTTTAGTATTTTTTTATTTTATTACCGTCGTTGAACAGCAGACAAAATTTTCGGGTTCACTCCGTAACCTTGTAATTTTGAAGCCAATTCAGAAGATTAGGGAACTTCTGGATCAAGTATCTATATTATATATTTCTCTTACACGGCGACAAAAAAAGCCTCATTACAGCTCCCCGAATGGCAGCGCTAGAAAATCGACCAATTATTGCCGCTAAAAATGTCACATGCCAAATCTAGCTGAGGTGGCTCAACATATAGCGCTTTTAAAAACGGAAACTGAAATAACCTGAGAGAGCATCAGCTGCGGCAATCTCATACTATTAAGCTAGGCAGAAGTGAGTAGTCTTTGTCGATAGATCTCTATTTTAGTATTTTGTCGAAACCGCTTTTTTCACGAATTTATATATTACGAATTTATTTGACGATTTTTGATTTATATCACGAATTTATTTGTTTTATTATTGTTATTAGTTATTCTTTGAAAAATGAGTCTCAGTCGTGTTGTTACGCTTTAAGATTTTATACTATAACACATTTCTAATAGGTTTAACGAATTACATGTCATTTATTTGAATTAAAATTTATATTAATGACTTAGTATTTACTAAAAAGATGTAATTTTAAAAAAAAAATTTTGTTGTATGGATTTGAATGATTGTTTTGATTTCTTAGAATTTTGTGCATTTGTAATGTACCTAAGTTAGTACGGCTAGTAGCGAGCGAAGCGAGCTTGGTTTGCGAATCAAA